CAGACAGACAGACAGACAGACAGACAGACAGACAGACAGACAGACAGACAGACAGACAGACAGACAGACAGACAGACAGACAGACAGACAGACAGACAGACAGGCAGACAGACAGACAGACAGACAGACATACAGACAGACAGACAGACAGACAGACAGACAGACAGACAGACAGACACCTCTCGCTCCTCCGCTCTCCCGTGGCTTCACCGCCACGCGCTACTCACCGGGACGTTGTAGAGGAAGAGGATGAGGAAGAGCGCCAGCAGGAGCACCACCAGCAGCGTGATCAGGTACCACTTGTAGCGCTTCCAGACGATGTACTTGAACGACTTCCAGGGCGAGGTGAACCACAGGAAGGACGTGGCCGGCCGGCTGCAGCACACGGCGCGACAGCGTCAAATGACGTCACGGGGGACACATGGGTGGGGTACACGGCGGCCTAGCGTGGAGCGGGGTTGAGCGGTGTCAGTGGAAGACAAATGGAGCCGAAGTACGACCTATGACGTGGAGCAGCGTAAAATGACATCAGTGGAAGACCGCCAGGACCGGAGAGAAGCGGCGGCATGGGGTCGAACGAGCCTTCACAGATGTTAGTTAACGTCGTTAGGAAACACAGAGAATGAACACTGATGTCCGAACACGACGCGTGCTGGCAACGACAAAACCCTTACACCACTGTCATTGCATGACTTATCTCCACCGTTAAAAAAAAAAATCATTGCAAATGCTCTGATGTGACAAACGTGACACCGGTGAAACACGTTAGTGACAGCACTGCTGTAAGTCAAGCCTCAGAAGAAATTCTCACCCGACACCTGCACCGAAGCGGTTTGTGTCAGGAAAAACTACTACCGTACTCATTAACCTTGAGTCCCAACCTTTTGCTCGGAAAGATTTCTGGGATCAGTCTCAGCGCTACGCGGCGCTCGCATCACGTGAACACCAACGCCGCCATCTGACCATGACATTTGCAAGTCAATGAGTTATGCAGCAGCGAAAGCTTAACCTACCGCGATGCTCGGAACGGTACCCTTCTTGACGTGGCGTCATCTGACCTTCAGCGCGGTCGCGGTCACCGGCAGCGCGCTGCCTCAGTCAGGGGCGAGTCGCGCGGATGAGGCGGCTTGAGGCCACCCCACTTCGCGTGAGTGAACCGGAACGCAGGCACTAACTTCTTTGCAAAATCCGCGGAAATACAACTACCACGGTTCACAGCTTTACGAGACGCTGGTGTTGTCGAATGGGGTTTATGTGAGCCCTGCCTCGGTTTGTCTTTTTACTCTTCTCTCCACAGGCCACACCGGAGTCGCTCGTTCATCCAGGGACTCGGACCGCGAGGTTTGTTGTCGACCTTTGAGGTCGGAGCCCTTATACAGCTAATATTGTCTCCGGGTATAAAATCCCCCTCCTGGACACATCTTTGGATACACCGCTGTTCACTAAAAAATACCTAAACGAATGTGACAATTGTATCCCTTTTTGTGCGGATTGTATCCTCCTCGCCGAGGGCAATTGTGACAATTATATCCCTCTCTTACATGGTCATTTGAGGTCACTTCCGGTTGACCTAGGGTCATGAACCCAATTAGTAAAATGTAGCCCCGGTCATTCTCTACCATGTATCCTAGACTCAGACCCCTACCTCAAAAACTTTTTCGGGGGACCTGTTCGCGCAAAGGCATTTTTGGAAAGATCGTTTTTTAAGTTTTTTTCAACTTTCCATATATGCTAGAGTTTTGATTTTTTGACACGTTTAAGAACGTCCTAGGTTAGGCCTTATGTCAATTCGTAACCTTCGTAACTTAGGTAGAAAAAAAGTTTTTTTTAAATGCCAAAATCGGCAAGCCTATACGACCCCATTTCCCCGTTGACCGCATATGAGCTGATGTTTTGAACACCTTCCGAGACGTTAGGTTATGTTAGTGTATAGAAAATACTACTCAACAGATTTACTTGATTCAAAAAAAGAACGATGTCCCACGTCAAGACGCATCTTTCCTTTTTTGAAATTTTGAAATCGGTCATCATTTGGCCGAGATAAACTCAAAAAACCAAAACACATGTAACGCTATGGGAAAAAGTTTTTCCAAATTTCTCAACTTGTTATACATCTGATGCGAAAACATTCAACAGCAAAAAGATAGCTCTTGTGCTCAGCAACACGTTGCAAAAAACAAATCGAATATCGGTTGGTAACTTTGGCAAATATTTGGATTTTCATGGTTCCCGAATAAACTAATGTGACAATTTTATCCTCGTTTAAGGGGGTCTTCTACAGCTAATAAAACCTACTAAATCGTAACAGAAAAACCTCCCTCTTGGTGCACGCACTAGGGGGACCAACAGCTTTCATTTCCCACCCAAAAAAAATTTTTGAAAAATTTTGACATTTTTTGAAAAAAGTTAGTTGTAGTTCAAAAATTTTTCATTACCAGGTATAGGACATATGACGTCAAAAACTTTCAAATTTAATTCTGCGTCGATTGCAATCAAAATCAAAATTTTATCTCATTTGGTTAGAGAGATATACGTGTTGCAATTTGATATAGACCAAAATTGGCCGATTTTCAAAATTATTGGATTTTGTTGTAACGCACGTCATTTTACGCGGAATGTTATGGCGCATCTGGTGATGTATCTTTTAACATGAGAAAATAAAAAGTTTTTGAGTTATTTTGAAAAAACTCGAAAAATTGCCAAAAATTTGAAATTTTTTTAGAATGTGCGGGAATTTTTAAAACATTGTTTCTAGTGCATCGTAACACGCTGAGTTTGAATCTGCAATCAGATTTGATGTTACTTGATAACTTTTATTTAAAAACAATAAAAACCTAAAAAAAACATATCGATAATTTTTTTTGGATTTCATGAATTTCACAAATTTGACCAATGCACTAGATGCAACTTGTGATTCTAAATCAGAATGGTCTCTTGACTATTTTTCGTCCGACGCTTAGTTTTCTGAGAAAACACGTTTAAACTATTCGTAAAATGCAGCAAAAATATAGGCAAGATTCCTTATCTGTTTTGTCAACTTTATTTAGTGTTCAGGAAGCTAATACTTTGACAGAGGCTAGAATCAGTCATTCCCTTTCTAGCGCCGTTTTCAGAACATCTTTTGGTTACGTGATCATGGAGATACAGCTCATTAAGTAAAGACCGTTTTACCCCATTCATCCCCAGTGTTTAACTCCCTATTCAGCCTGATTCTGAATTGTTTGACATGTTACAATAAATAGCGATGAAAAAACTTTGCAAACATAAAAGTTTGCGGGCGTTAAAGATGCGCTAATTCATTGTCTGCAAGATGATGTTTTCGGTATTAAGATATCTTGATTTTCAAAGACACCATCAACGATTATATGGAGGTAGTTTTTTATAGGGGTAGTTTTCCCCATAGCGTTACGCGTTGGACGACGACGGCGCAAAACAGGTGGTGTTTGACATGCTCTAACTTCAAAACCAACAAAGCCATAGACAAATCTTTGGCACCGTGTAATAGCTTGTTTCTTGCTCTATCAGATCAAAAGAAATCAAAACAATAAAATGAAATTTTTTAAAAAAATTATATAAAAATTTTTGGGTCAATATTTGACATATCTATACAAAAATTAAAAGTAATTCAGCCATGTTTTTCTACACTCAATAGAAGTGAAATTGTCATGATGGAGACAGATTTTGCTTAGATGGAACTTACTTCCAATGATATAGACTTAAACTCAAAAAATATATTTTTGACATATTTTGCACCAAATCTGGAAAATTTTTTGAGAACATAAAAGATGCGCTAGTTCATTGTCTACAAGATGCCGTTCACAGCGTTAAGATATCTTGGTTTTCAAAGACAGCATCAACGATTGTGTCTAGGTAGTTTTCCCCATAGCGTTACGCGTGGCACTTAGAAAAAATCCGATGAAAACAGGCGGTTTTTGGTGGTGCACGTCAAGAGTTTGACATGCTCTAACTTCAAAACCGATCAAGCCATGGACTAATCCTTGGTACCATGTAATAGCCTGTTCCTTATTCTATGAGGTGAGAAGAAATCAAAACAAAAAAATAAAAATTTTAAGAAAAATTTTTAGAAATTTTTCGGTCAAATTTTGACATATGTATACAAAAATTAAAAACAATTCAGGCATGTTTTTCTGCACACAATAGAACTGAAATTGTCATGATGTATACAGAGTTTGCTCAGATATAACCTACCTCTAATGATATAGACTTAAACTCAAAAAACACATTTTTGACATATTTTGCACCAAATCTGGAAAATTTTTTGAGAACATAAAAGATGCGCTAGTTCATTGTCTACAAGATACCGTTCTCAGCGTTAAGATATCTTGGTTTTCAAAGACAGCATCAATGATTGTAACTAGGTAGTTTTCCCCATAGCGTTACGCGTGGCACTTAGAAAAAATCCGATGAAAACAGGCGGTTTTTGGTGGTGCACGTCAAGAGTTTGACATGCTCTAACTTAAAAACCAATCAAGCCATAGACTAATTCTTAGTACCATGTAATAGCCCGTTCATTTTTCTATCATGGCAGCAGAAATTAAAACATTTCAGTGAAAAAATAAAAAAATATATATACAAATTTTTGGAACAATTTTTCACATATGTATGTCAAAATTCAAAAACATTCAGGTATGTTTTACTGCACACAATTGAACTCCAATTGATACGATGTAGGCTGGTTTTGCTCAGATAAAACTCAACCTCGATGATATAGACTTAAACTCAAAAAAAATATTTTTGACATATTTTGCACCAAATCTGGGAAAATTTTTGAGAACATAAAAGATGCGCTAGTTCTTTGTCAACAACATACCGTTCTCAGCGTTAAGATATCTTAGTTTTCTAAGACAGCATCAACGATTGTAACGAGGTAGTTTTCCCCATAGCGTTACGCGTGGCACTTCGAAAAATTCCGGTCAAGATGACGGTAATAAATAGATGTGTTTGATGGCGTCTGGAACAACCATCGTCAAACCTACATCAACCAACTTTCTGTGGTGTGCTTACAGAACCTAGATAAAACGGTATACTAAATTTCAAAACTTTTTTTCGAAACATGACATCATCACAAAAGTTTGAAATTTACACTTTACTATGTGATTTAACATGGGAAAAATTTTCAAAATTTTAGATTTAATATTTTGGTTAAATTTTTCTTCCCAGTAGATAGCCAGTGTCACAAGCTTTCTGCCAATACCATATTCATGCACATGACTTGCATGATAAGGTGTCCAGTAAAGATAAAAGACATGAAACCCTATACATATGAATATATAACCACTTTTGGAAGCGTACAATATTTAAACAGAGACGAAAAAAGCCCATAGACAGAAGCAAGAATATCACATCCAATGTGGAAACGTAGTCTGGGCATGATACAAACAAGTTTGATGTAGGGCCGTTCAAAAAAAAAAAAAAAATTTAGACAATGAAAAAGTTTTTTGCTTATAAAAAGAAAACTAAATATAATTTTGGAACAAATCCAAAACCAAAGGAAGCCCTGCGCAACGATGTATAAGCAAGCAAAAAAAATCCTAGGTTACGGCCTTATTTCCGGATCGGGACCAAACTGTACAATTTGTGCTTTTTTTCAAAACCATGTATATCCTTAAATTTTTGAGTTATATCAAATTTTTTGCACCATTCGATTTGTCTTTACAATGCGCATCTTTTACTAATACACTTGCATCACAAATTCCCTACCGAAAATTTTTTGTACCCCACTCGGTACAATTTGTGCAAACGAGGATATAATTGTCGCATTCGTTTATTGGAACTTGGATAGGAATCGGGCGTTGAAGTTTCTTGAACACGAAAATCGGCCAACTTTGCCATCTAATAACTTCTACAATTTTTGGATTTTCGAAAAAAATAAAAAGAGTAAAAAGATAGAGGGGTTAATTCTGATCAAAACGCACTCCTCCGATTTTCGATAGCCCCCCTAGTTAGGTCACAGCAGCCAATACCGCAAAGGCAAATCGGGATAAAAATGTCACATTCGTTTATTTTCGAGGATACAAATGTCACATTAGTTTCTGAAAGGGATACAATCGTCACATTAGTTTATCCTAACATTATCTGACGGACGCCACACGCGGAGGCCGGGCATTCAACTAATTCGCTCCTCATGCCCCAGAGCTCTTTCCGAGTTCGATCCCCTCCCCCCCCCCCCCCCCCCCCCCCCCCCCCCCCCCCCCCCCCCCCCCCCCCCCCCCCCCCCCCACTGAGGACTCTTTACCAGCCCGGGGGACTACCGATCATGTACGCCTTATTCCGAGATCGCCTTCGCGGTGACCTGAGGAGACGACTCAACTTGGGCGGCTCCAGCTTTGGGTTCATGTTGGGCTCCTCTCTGCCACTGCCGCCGGCCTCTGCTCGGCGTCCTCTGCCGCCAGCACCTCTATCTCCATCTCGAGCTTGCCCTGCGGTCAATCAGGGTCAACAAACGTTAACTCCGTCTCCAGTTTACCCCACGGTCAGTCTGGGTCAGCACAGGTCACCTTTGTCTCCTGCTTACCACGCGGTCGGTCGAGGTCACCAATGGTCCGCTCCGTTTCCAGTTTACCCCACGGCCGATCAGGGCCATCAAACGTTTACTCCGTCCCCAGTTTACCCCACGGTCAATCAGGGTCATGAAACGTTAACTCCGTCTCCAGTTTACCCCACGGTCAATCAGGATCATCAAACGTTAACTCCGTTTCCTGTTTACCCCACGGTCAGTCCGGGTCAGCACAGGTCAAATCCGTTTCCAGCTTACCCCACGGTCAATCAGGATCAGCACAGGTCAACTCCGTCCCCAGTTTACCCCATAGTCAATCAGGGTCAGCACAGGTCGACTCCGTCCTCAGTTTACCCCACGGTCAGTAGGGGTCAGCACGGGTCAACTTCGCTAGAGCACAGCACACGAGCCGTGCGCCTATCACCCCTCCCACCCGGTCCACCAGTACGCGACGTCGAACGCCTGCGAACCCACACACCGTCAGTTTCATCTTCTCTGACCCCCACCCTTAACGCTAGCCCGTCTATCATGCGGACGGAAGAGGACCGGCGGCGGCGGCGGACTCTCACCGTGCAGACCCGCTTGTCCTCCACCTCGCCGACCGTCGGCCAAAAGCCCATGATGCGCTTCTTGCTCCAAATGTCCATCGGCACCTGGCAGGTCCTGTCGCCGGGTCACAGGTCGTCAGTGGGCCCCACGCTCGCCGAGGGGGGGGGGGGACGCACAGCCACAAGACACGCATACGCACAGGCGTGGAGCTCTCACGCGCGGCGATCAGTCCCGCCGCGCCCACTGTCACTGCAGCAGGGACCGAGGACAGCAGACGCTGTGTGTTGCAGTTAACGTGCGCGTGGTTCACCTCACATCGCCAGGTCTGAAGTGCATGTACTAAGACGACAGCTGAGCAATGGCGCAAGAGTAATACACTCGAACGGCACGGCCACTGCCACCTTTCCTAAAAGCCCCGTAGAAGCATCTCAGTTGAACTGGACCTGATACACCATACCGAGGCGCGCAAGCGTTGAGAATGATAAAATGTGATGTGATGATAAAATGATAACACAAAAATGCAAGTAGTTTGACCGTCGATCACTGAACACCGTGCAGTTGCTGCTCTTTTAGCCACCGGCGAATGCGACAACATCCACCCCGGAGTCCCACTCCCAGCCTCCGTCCAACGTCACCGTCCACCGCCTGCCACCCCACACCAGGGGTCCGTACCAGCGCGCCCCGCGGGCCACCGGAGGCCACAACCGTCCGGCGCACCCGCCGCGCGCCCGTCACTCACTCGTCCTTCTTGCGCCGTCGCAGGCTGTCGGTGAGGGCCTGCATGGCGTTGTTGTTGGCGGCGTCGTCGGCCTCGGCGACGGCCTCGATCTGTTTCAGGGTGCAGTCCGCGGCCGTGCGGGCCGGGCAGACCAGGCGGTTCAGGTCCAGCTCCAGCTCACCTGACAGACGGATATACAGAGGTCAGGAGCAGCTCCAGCTCACCTGACGGACAGGTATACAGAGGTCAGGAGCAGCTCCGGCTCACCTGACAGACAGGTATACAGAGGTCAAGAGCAGCTCCAGCTCACCTGACAGACAGGTATATAGAGGTCAGGAGCAACTCTGGCTCACCTGACAGACAGACACACGGACGTGGGGAGCGGCTCCAGCTCACCTGACATACAGATATACAGAGGTCAGGAGCGGCCCCAGCTCACCTGACATAGACACACAGACGTCATGAGCAGTTTCGTCTCACCTGACAGACAGATTCACCCGCACAAACCAACAAACACCAGACAAGTACGATACGCTGACAAGCGCAGACGTCACACCCGCAGAGCCAGGGCGTGAACGCCGCCACCACGCCGTCAGCGGGGAAAGAGCACGGCGCCGACGTCGGGCCGGCGGCGGCGAGCACACGCACCGATGTAGTCGTCCTTGCTGATGAGGTCGTTGTCCCAGATCTGGAACATCAGCTTGGGCGGCCGGTGGTCCTCACGCTCGTCCAGGCTCCAAAAGTGCTCCTGGGGAGCACGGCACGCCGCCATCACGCACACCGCCATCCGTACATTAGGCGTGGCGGCCACCTGTACCGCCACAGCGAGAGAACGTCCAGAGGATTCTTCAAAAACCGTGCCGGAATCGTCGGCACCATCATCGCACGCCCGATCGATGTGAGCGAGTGGCCTGGACGCGATGTGTCCAGGGCGGTCACCCAGAGGCCTCGGATGGCCCGACGAGTTACATGACCCGTGTTTTGGCCCGATATCGGGGCGCGGACCTGATGGCCCTCCCGGACCTCGCTCCTCCCTCGCTCCTTTGTGGCGCTGATGACCGCAGCACGCCGCACCTGCCGTTACTGTTGTGGGTTCTCGCTCGACCTGCTGGCGTTCATGACGAAGAGTGATGACCCTGCCAGTCTCGAGCAGACCGATTTTAGACATCGCGGTAGCGCCCCAGGCTGGCCTCGACTGACCCCGATATATTGTGACCTTGGCTGACCTTGAAATAGCGTGACCTATATTGACCTTGAAAAAGCGTCGCCTAAACTGGCCTTACGTGTGCCCGCGACTGACCTTGGACTTGATGACGATCATTCTCTCGGCCTCCAAGGTAGTCCAGGTTGAAGACGAAGCGCCAGTTGAACATGGCCTCCCCGTCCATGCAGCTGCAGACGCGGATGGTCAAGACCGCGCTCAAACATACAGACCAAGATCGCCACAGGCGCTCCAGGAACTTTCGGTAAGAAGAGAAACGGGTGGGCAGGCAAGAACGGAAACAGAGCATTTGATTACGCATAACTGAGGACGTTACAACTTAAGAGATGGCATAAGGTACAACACAATCAAACATTAATACCTACGCTTGTAATGTCCACGCATGCGCTCTCTAAATCCATTAAACACCGACATCACTAAAATCACGGTGTAATCGCTAGCTACTTTACAGAAGTGCACTTGAATGTCGGGTCGCAAACGTGAGTCCCCAGACAACTCAACAGACAGTTGTCTGTGCAGTGTCTGTGAGCTGTCTGCTTGCAGCAGACAACTCACACGGCGCAATGCCCGAAAGAACAAACCGTCCGCCTAGACCAGCACCGCCAGCACCAATGTCTCACGTGTACCTTCCAGACAGCGAGACGTATGTACCCCACAAAGTACGCCACAGCCTATTGTTAGCTACATTCTCCGTGCAGGAGGAGGCGGGGGTTCTCGGCCGCTTTCGTACGAACCGACCACATAGTGACGCGACTAATAGCCGCCCTCGTACGTGGCACGAGCTCAGTTTGAAAAAGTGTGTCCCAACCTGACCTACTTTTCCGCACAAGCCTTCACTAGAACTGGTTCGGTGAACACTCCTCACAGGCTTAAGCGTTCACATCATCGCGTAGTTAATACTGAGACCAAGACCTGGTCAACGACACAATGGATACGACATAACTAATAGCCCCAGACAACAGCCCCGCAGCCTGCTAACAGGTCAGCACGACCGAATGAAGCAGGAATGTGCAGACCGTAAAAAGATCGTAAGTAATTACCTACCAATACTTGCACCACGACCCTTTAGGACCATAAGCTATAATAAAACTATAACTTCATCAGCTATAACCTACCACGCGCATTTTTTATACGTGCAGGTTGCCTCGCATTCAGCGATATTATCCCCTACTTGGGTCGGCAGCATTTTGACAGCCTTGCTAGTGAACCCCAGTTAGCTAGAACTTCCCTATAATCCAGCGACGTTTCGCCAAGCAGTCTCCTGCGACTGGGACACAAATACAGGCGATCGGTGCCCGCCCGCCGCTTCTGACCGAGAGCAGGCAGCGCAGCCAGCCCCCGCCACCCACCGGTAGTGGACGTCCGACTTCTGCACGTTCTTGTCGCCCTGGATCCAGCACTTGACGTACACGTCCGACATGTTGCTGCCTGAGACGACCGAGTACTCCTGCATCACCACGTCCATCACGTTGTAGAGCGCCACCCGCAGCACGTACCTGGCGACGTCACGCGGGGTCAGTGACCCGGCGGGACACGGGGTCAGTGACCCGGTGGGGCGCGGGGTCAGTGACCCGGCGGGTCGCGGGGTCAGCGACCCGGAATGACGCGAGGTCAGTGACCCGGCAGGACATGGGGTCAGTGACCCGGCAGGACTTGGGGTCAATGACCCGGCTGGAGGCGGGATAGGTGACCCGGCAGGGCGCGGAATAAGTGACCCGGCATGACATGGGGTCAGTGACCCGGCGGGACATGGTGTAAGTGACCGGCTGGACGCAGTGTCAGTGACCCGGCAAGACGTGGGGGTCAGTGACCCGGCAGGGCGCGGGCACGCATCGACACAGCGGCCGGTCCGCCGCACAGAGATGGCCGGCCGTGCAGTAAACGGCCCCGCAAACCACGACACTGGTTTGGTACAGCTGCGTTCTCGCGATCCGACCACGAGATCAGGTACTGCGCGCAATGCACTATGTCAGCGCGCAATAAGGGTACATCGCAGTGCACGAGGGCTTTTTCTGCTCAGCACGCTTTGATAACGTTCACGTGCTCTTAGTATGTTCTCAACACATTAGCAGCACATTCTCACGTTCTTAGCACGTGCTCACGTTCTCAGAACGTCCTCACGTCTTAGCATGTTCTCGCGTTAATGTTTAGCACGTCCCTTAGCATTCCCACACTTTCTGCACGTTCTCAAATTCACGATTAATACGTCCTTAGAGCCAGGAGCCATCCACGCCAACCAAACAGAACTGAGCTCGCAAGACCGCACAGAGCGGAGCCTGTCCAGTGACACAGGCTTCAGAGCCACTGCGGGAAGCGGGACAGCTCTCCTTTCAGGGAGGGCTTACGAGCGCCGACAGAGCGGCGCACAATGAGTCTCATTAAAACGTGATGTATGGCCGACTCCAAAACGACCATCTACCGCCCGGCGCTCCCGCCAGCTGATGAAAATGCGTGGCGGCAGGACTGAGATGGGACGGCGAGTTATGTCGAGGTGATTACTGCACGCGAACGCGACGGCAGCGGGAATCTTCCACGGGTAACAGGGGATCAGGGGATAAGGGGATAAGGGGATAAGGGGACACCGGTCTCACGGACAAGCAGCAGGACATTGGTAGTGAACGTGATCATCTATAAAAGGTAGATAACCACGCATATGCCATCACTATGTGTCAGAATGTGTCATCACCATATCTGCGCGGACAGCCGAGCCAGGCTAGTCAGAAAGCCAGACAAGATTCAAGGTCACGCCCTCTAACGCGCCTCCAGCCAGTTTAGGACAGGTGTGCCGGACGTGGACCCGCACAGAAGCAGCAACAGCGCAGAGCCGGTCTTCCCCGGTGCCGCAGGGCTCGAGCAGTGCTTACTTGCTGGGTTCGCGGGGCGTGATGTCGAACGGAGGACCTGGCGGACCCGCCAACTTCGGGAAGATGTCCACCAGCATCTCCAGCTGGAACACGGCGCGAGTCAGCACCGACTCGTCAAGCGGACGCCGGTGCGGCCGCTGCCGCGCTGAGATAAGCCATCGGGCGGCATGGCCAAGCGGGGTACCGACTCCACCGCAGGGTCCAGTGACGACCAAGGCAACGGGTGTAATACGGCCAACACCACTTAGACGGCTTGGTCAGTATGCAACGGCTTCATTTGCACAGTATCACGTTACGACTTCAACGCTCTCTCCACAGCGCCGGCACCTGACGAAACAAAGCACCAGTCGCTGAATACTGCATGTTCTATCGCAGCCAAAAGGGGGCATCAGCCGAAATCTCCGGCGAGTTTCAGTCAAAATTCGTATCTCTCCAGTCCCAGTTTCGTATCTCCCCTGTCCCGGCCAGTACCTCCCCAGCCCCCTCGTCCTGGCTCGCACCTCCCCTCCCACCGGCTCACCCCACCCCCCGGCCCCCACCCGCGTCTGCCCACCTTCCCCTGCTCCAGGTCGGGCATGGCCGGGTTGAACAGACGGCGCGTCTCCACGTGCTCGGGCACCAGCTCGAACGTGTGCAGCACCAGCAGCGCCAGCCTCTCGTCGTCCGGGCCCAGCGTCGGCGGCCGCTCCGTCGACCGGTCTGCCGCGTCCGCCGCACACGTCAAGAACATCAGAAAAATACGGCACACGTCAAGAACATTAAAAGGTCAGAAGAATATTAGGTCAAGAACATTAGAAGGTCGGCACACATCAAGAACGGCACAGTGAATGCAGGTATGAATGAACGAAAATGAAATGATATTGATAAAGAAACAAAAGTGAAATGATAGTGATAATGATGTGATGGTGAATAAAAATAATCAGTAATAACCGTGATGTTCACAACTTAAAGTCGATGTGAACATGAATGAATGTAGAAGTGGGCGCGCCTGCGGCCTGATACCTGATATAGGCGGCCGAGGACAAGTTCAGGAAGGCTTGGAGCTCCGTCCGTTGGAAAAGGCTATCTCCGGGCAACGGCCAAACCCCGTGTGACGACCCACACTTAACGCTTCGGTCTCTGGATGCGCAAATCCTGAACTTGGTCCGTTCTCACTGACCAACCAAATCTCCACGCGCCTCACGACAGCGACAACCCCACCAAGCCAGGCGGTCCCGCCCCGACAGCTAGTTTCCACACTCCAAAACCATGAAAATATTGTTCCTCGACTGACCTTCCAGCTGACCTTATTGACCTTTTACTGACCTTCCAGCTCGCTGAGCCGGTAGTGTTTGTTGCCAATGACCACCTCCGTCTTGGAGAGCCAGAGCGGCTGCGAGCGGTTGTTGGTCTCGCAGACGTTTTCCAGAATCTCGCGCGGCGTCTGGGCGTCGCGCCACTGGTTCGGGCCCGACCTGCGGGGTCAGGTCAGGTCACGTGGGGTCGAGGTCATCACGGCTACGGGGCTTGCCTTGACAGGGGAAGACGGGCACATGGGTGGAAAATACGGGTACGGGTACTTACTGCCAGGTGCAGCCCACATCATATTTGATAGCTAGATTATCTCACAGGACTAGTAACAACTGCGTTGTTTCTAGCGCCAATGAAACAATGCCCTGTATTTTAACTGAGAACAAACTCTCTGTTCGATTTATATCGCTGACATCATGTTGATCCGAGAATGCGCACACACTAAATAACAACATCGACATGGATGCACCTTAGCAGAATTCACAAGAAGACATCACACAGAGAAGACATCGCACTTGCCAAGAACACTCAAACGGGGAATCACAACGGCCGAAATGAAGTCCTCCAGCCATCAGCCCAGGTCGGGCGAGCCGGACCTTTGTCTGTACACCGGGTACCTCCGTACTCACAGGTGGTACTCGCGCGGTATGCCGCACGTGGCGCGGTACTTGGTCATGTAGCGGTTCTCCAGGTCGACCTTGGTCTCGCCGATCAGGTCGTCCTTCGAGACCAGGTCGTAGTCCATGACAGACACGGTGAGGTCCTTCTCCTTGGGCAGCATGCAGGTGAACTCCATGAAGCTGAAGGGGCGGGCGGCAGGCGCGGGTCAGGTCCCGACGGGGCGGCGAGGGTGTTAGCCAACGGTGTCAGCCAACGGTGTCAGCCAACGGTGCCAGCCGGCAAGGGATGACGTCAGAAACACAGAAGTGGCCAACCAAGGTCAACGGTGTCGCAAAAGGCAGCCCGTAGCCAACCAAGGTCAATGGTGTCAACTGGCACAGGGTGATGTCAGGCAACACAGCCCACAGCCAAAAAGTGTCAACAGTGTCAGCCAGTACAGGACGCAGTCCAATGACACAGCCTACATCAAACGAATGCCAATGGTTTCAACCCACACGGTCAGTGTCAACCCAGTCAACAGTCAACCAAGGCCAATAGTGTCCGTCAACACAGGACGGTGTCAGACAATACCGGGCAGTGTCAGACAACACGGGGCGACGTCGGCCCACAGATCTCGCGTATTCACCCCCGGGGGCCTCGTCCGCGAGCTCCGATGACAACAGTGGGCAAGCTGGGCCGACACCGACAGGTAACAGCGTTCGTAGCACGCAAATCAGTAAGCACCAATCCGATCGGCGGACGAGGGCGACGAGCTGCGCGGTGACCATGACGCCGGCCCGAAATAAAATCGCATCGCGTTTATGAGACCCGGTGACTCTCGCACCTGCCGAAGATGGGGTTGAGCGTGTTGGGCCGGTACTGGTCCCTGGTGTCCTGCTTCTGCTTTCCCAGCTGCACGCGCAGGTACGGGTCCGACATTCCGTTGGAATCCTGCGGCGACAGGTCCCAGCATCTGCCGCCAGGGGCGCCACCGTCGGATGAGATGAGACACGCGGACGCACGCACGCGCGCCGCGCAATGCGATCAACGTGCGGCAAACCGCGACGCCTCAACAAGCACATGACACGAAGCTGACGCCAACACGGGTCAGCGCGAGGGTCAACCGCCAAAAACCAGCCAAAGAAAGGAAACTACAAAAAGGGGGCAGAGGGAAACACGAGAAAATATATTCACCCGAGAAGCTTACATGCATCCCATCGAACGCGCCAACACAAACACAGCGGGTGGCGAGGTTCGAACCCACAACCTTTCTGCTGCGGGCCTGAAGCTCTACGGCACCTGATGAAGTATACGCGGACGATGACCTCCTCAGATGCTGACGGCGGGATGCCACGGATCTGTCGGGGAGGCAGCGGCAGGCTCGGATCGTCCGGCAGCGTGTACACCTGCCGAGTCAAAGGTCAGGTCAGAGGTCACGTCAAAGGGCAGTGTTCTTCTGCGGCAATGGTCAGAGGTAAGTTCAGAGCGAAGCGTAGACCTGCGGATAGGGCAGGGGTCGGTGCACACGTCAGAGGTCAGTGTATAGGTCAGAGGTCAGCATACATCTGTGTATAGGTCAGGTCAGTACACACTTGCAGAGGTCTGAGATAAGCGCACAGGTCAGGGCTCAAGGCACACCTGCGGAAAGGGCAAATCTCAGTGCACAGGTACAAGGTCAGTGTATAGATCAGATAACAGTGTACAGGTCAGGGGTCAGAGGTCAGTGTAAACCTGCCAACAGGTCAAGGGGTCACAACTGCACAAGTGGGAAGAGGTCAGGGCCACAACACAATCATGATAGTCATATCACAACGCAAACACACAATGCATCAGTAGTACAGTTGCCCCCGTCGACCCCCCCCCCCCCGCGTAGCCCCACTGACCCTCCCGCATGACCCCACTGGCGCTTCCGCGCGACCCCACTGACCCGCATGGTGCCCTTGAAACTCGCCGACGGTGGCCGACTCCTCGTCTTCACACGACTTGCCGCGGTGGATGTCCAGCGTGTTCAGGATGTCCTTGAAGTGGTCGAAGCACGCCACCCGCTCCAGCTCCACCGGGTAGATCTCCAGCTTCTCGTACCTGCCGCAGAAGACGGTGAACACCTAGCGGGCTCCAGCGGGCAGATGTTCAACTTCTCAACTCGTAGAGAAGACGGCATCGGAACACGGAGACTGCACGGCGTACACCTCGCTGTGGCATGGTTCTGCAGGAACAGTCGCACACACCGACGGTGCTGGGCAGCTCCTCTGCGCTGAAGAACTCCACATTTCACCTAAATGTCCGCGCGCATGCGGGATCACAGGCTGAAGGTCCCAGATCGAACCGGCATCGTCATTTCCACAGCGTCACGTCAGCCATCCTCACGGGGGGCTTTCCGTCGCCACGCGCCGCACACCACCGGGGCGTAGCCTCCGCGCGGACCAAGAGTGTAGCCTCTCCCCGGCCCACCGACTGGGGTGTCGGGCTGGAGAGAAGCTACCAGTGGGTCGGCTCACCCTCGCTTGAGGTAGTCGCCGCACTTCCTGAGCTCGCCGGCCGACGCGTAGTACTTGCTCCACCAGTCCAGGTTCTTGTCGCGGTCCTCCGCCTTGACACCCGCCCGCCGGTTAGAGGCCGCGTGACACACGCACGCAAACAGCTTAGGAACTTCGAAAATATTGTGAACCTTCTATGGTTTGGGCGTTATTCACGGTGTGAATAAGAAAACGAGGCCTAAATTTTAAAAAAATTAATTGGAGGAAGTCGGAGTTCAAATTTAAGAAAAGTGAATATCTTACAGTCCTGTGGCCACGTGCAAAAACGCACTTTTGCTAAGTTTTGTTACAATGCGTCTGCTGCTTTCCAACACACTTCGGCGATCTCCTAGCGTCGGAAGTGATGTTGTAACTGAGAAACATCAAGGCGTTAAAACACTGTTCGGCAGGGACGCGGCCAGGCGGCGTCTTCGGCTCGCCACTGGAGCCCGGCCGCGCATAGGCCGGGCGTCCCCTGCCGCCGTCGCCTGGACGCGCCCCTGCCGCACCCACCTTCTCTCGCCACTCGTCGCCGGGGCGTCGCCGCGTCTCGGAGGTGACCTCTGACCCGCCCTCTGACCCCGGGTCAGAGGCGTGCTCCGGCCGCGGCAGTCGCCCATCGGACTACGTCAGCAGCGGCGGCGGGGCGTGCGGTTAGTGCAAGCGGCAACTGCCGGCTCGACCCCAGCGCCGCCGTGCGGCCGGCGGCGGAAACAGCGCCGCTGTTCAGAAACTGACCCGCGGTGATTGACAAGTTGACTGGCCACGGCAAGAGGCTACTTTTCAGACATTTGACATACTGGATCTTTTCCTTTTCTGATCGCGACTTACTCACGCGTCGGCTAACGTGGTGCTTTATTGTGGTAGACCACAGTAAATCGCAGGATTTTAATCACAAATAAATAGAATAAATGACAGCGTCAAATTGTCACCCTAGAGCAGACCGGCGGCAACGATGGTGTCGCTCATAAAGGCTCCAGGCAGACCCGCTCAGCGACCCGCGAAAGCTAACCTGCTGACAACGTCCGTCAGTTTCTGAACAGCACCGATGTGACCACCGCGACCTGACACGGATGCCAAAGTCGGGGGCCGAGCGGGGGGGGGGGGGGCGAGCAGAGGGGGGGCAGTCATGGCGCGTGCAGCGCGGGGCAGCTGGCACGGCGGCCTCGTGCAGGATGTTCAAGCTCGGCCGCATACAGCTGATGTTAGTGGTTAGAAAGCAGCGCTACGGTGCGTAACACGCACGCACGATGCTCCGTGTCAATGTAGGCACAACTCCTGCTGTAACCCAGCGCCCTGGAGCCCGGTATGTGTTGCCCGTGCAGCTAGGCTGTATCTGCGCACGAGCCGCTGCGGCCCGAGGGACGGCCCTGCCCTGGGGAAGGGACGGTCCCTGCCCCGCAAGGGTGGGACCGTCCCTGCTGCCCTGCGCGGCACGTCTGAGGCCTGCACGTCTGAGCTCTGCTGATCTGAGAGCTGCTGGTCTGAGAGCTACAGGTCTGAGCATGTCCGACGGTAACAGGCGTTATGACATCCTGCATCTCAACATTCCCAGCACGCGTGTTCTCAAGCCTGGCCATACACATCCTGGACATCGCACATCTCCCGTCATGCAGCCGAAGAGCGGAAGAAAGCACACCGAAGCTCCCTTTGCGGCGCGCGGCACCGCTGAAAGTCCAGCCGTGTGCGCAACGAGACGGCAACCGGAAACGGCGCCTGTGGCGGCCCAAGTGAGGGCGCTGTCCACATCGATCCATGCAGACCAGTCACAAGGTCTACGTGTAAGCCTGCGCCAGTGCTGTATCCCAGCGGCAGCGTTCAAAAACTCCCTACAACTGTCACAGCTGACACAGTAAGCAGCAGTGGCCATTGTTTCCGATCGGAGCCGTGACGTCACCCGCCTGCAGGTGAGTCGTGTGACGTCACCGTCTGCAGGTGACGTCATAGTTCGGTCTGATACCCGGCGACGACAATCAGCACATCAACCAAGCCCCGCCTGTCTCGCACGCCAGCGGTCGGCAGTGTCCCAGCGCGGGCCACCGGGTCGCCGACACCCGACGTTCTCCCGGCAACAGCACAGCCAGCGCTCTCACCACGGCGGCCGCCGCGTTCAGAACGCGCGCCACATCCTCGCAGAACGACACCTCAGCGGCGACACTCCAGCGTCTACGCGCTCAGCAAGCTCCGAACAGCCAGACACGGGACTGGACGATCGCAAGGCGCACCGGATCGTGCCCAGCTGGCGCTTGCACCGCGGCGTGCAAGCGCCAGCTGGGCACGACCCGTTTCCACCATCACCTTCGTTGCACGCGGCCCGACTGTGCAGCTGCTCTCGGCGGTAAGGCTGGCCCCCGCCGGTGACGAGGCGGGACAGGAGACGCGCCCCCGGAATCAACAGCTCGTGCTCGGGGAGCTTACGGTCCCCGACGGACCAGGGAGCCCTGCACTGGCGGAACACAAGGCGGCCACACCGCAGTCTCAGCATCGCCAACGGAGCAATTGTCCAGTATCCCAGCTGCATCACAGGTATCCTTGACAAAGCAGGCACATGCCCCCTGCCGCGACAATGTCCCGTATCCAGTGCAGCGCATCCCTGGCTCACACGAACACAGCATCGAAAAGCATTCTATAAGCGGCATGTTAAGTCCCGGTAGCAATCACCAGCGCTCCAAATCTAAACCGCTGTCCGCGCTTGTGACGACAGAAGACGTTTCCACGTTGCGAAGCAGACATACACACCCTGTAATCGGACGCGTGGAAGAACGAAGCACGTACAGACGAGCCAACGTTGACAACAGCGGCCGACCGCCGTCAGACGTAAGCGCATGACTGATGCATGTCACGTGACGGGCGCGTGTCGCAGCGTAAGCGGTACAAACAGAGCACGGCGAGCGACGGAGGATAGCCGAGCAGCGATGCGTGAGTTGTGTCCCGAAGGTGGCGGGTTCGAGGCTCACCACCGGTCGTGTTTTTTCGGTTCGGTTGTTTACTGCATTCGGCGCGAGAGACCGCAAACTCTCGCGACTAAAGGTAATATATGCTGCTTACGTCTTGCGACAGACAAAAGGTGACTGAATGCCAAGTGCAGAGACCAGAAGTTTAAAAGACCAGCCCGAAATCTATATTTTGTAGCTAAAAAGCATAACCATAAACAATGGGACATATGTGTATATCTAAGCATACATTAGGTTTCAAAAAAGCATAAGTTTACTTATATGATCACCTACATGCTTTGGCAATCAATTACCTTAACCTTAACATAACAGCGGAGTACACGGACCACGCGGCCTTTTTCCCCACTGAGTTCCAGCACAGAAAGAGTTCCAACCACAGACACATGTCTCTAAAGAGGCTGACCTGTCTCTCGGCTGTCTGCTGGGCTCCACCATAGGGAAGACGTGCGAATCATGTGGTACAGCGATCAGACAACGGTACACCGTTGCCCGATGCGGCGGTATGTAGTGTCCCAAAGCGTGTCGACGTTCGAGAGCTGGCATACGAACAAAGGCAAGCGACTTGCCAGCCGCGTGAGCAGCACGACAAAAAGGCGCGGCCCCATAGACAACTGTTGCTTCACCACAGTGTGTGTCCCTCGCGACATCCAGACATCACGCGCAGCAGACGCCAGAAACGGCCAGCGGTAGTAGCCACACATAAAACAGAGACAGATAGATGCACTCCCAGAACTATGCGCCGGTTACGAGTGTCCCGCGGCAGTAGCCGTACATAACACAGCTGACCGAGCTGACATATGAGCATGTGTTGTCTACATCCGTGTCCCCGCCAGTAGCTGCACATAACACGGGTCGAGCCCGGCGCGGCGCTCGCGCTCGACCGTCACCTCATCCGGGTCGACCGGGTCGTCGTCGACCAGCGCCTCCGTGCTGCTGAAGACGCCCGGCCCGTCCATGCCGCCACGGAAGGCGTGCGACAGCAGACGGTACGTGCGCCAGCCCTACGCCAACTCGGCTCGTGAGTGACAGGGCGCGGGTTCAAGACCCGGTGGGGGTTGAGTTCGGCGGCGCAGTCTGCCGTCTGGTCTAGAGCCACAGTGATGTTGCGGACGAAGTCGAACACTCGCCGCACAGCGTTAAGACACTTCACAACCGCAGAACAGGCAGAAGAACTCCTGGTCACATACCACTTCAGTAGCCACTTGCATGGAGGCAGCATGCCTCCACGAGGCATGCCTCCATGCCTCCAACATGCCGCACACGCATGGAGGCATGCAACTCAAACACATCCAGCAACAACAGGACATTTTTTCAACGAAATAACACGTTACTAGAGTCTGGCGCCGCGTCCACCAAAGCGCCAAGTCCAGCGCAACGTCAGAGACAGTCTGCTCGCGCAACACAACGGGCACGGCACCAGACAGCACAGGCACAGGGGCATCACAAACATATCTCGGTCAACGCACGCCTCGGGCAGATGGTTCTCGGCGAAAATTCAATTCAAGTCAGTTCACGACGCACGCAATTCGTCATGGACAAGCCCTCTGCCAGAATATCGCTCGAAAAAGGTGCGGCCTTCATTGGAGCTTCTGGAGGACGTTTACAAGCCCGCCTGGCGCGATGCGCATCCCAGCTGAGGGCGCCGACGTCCGAACCAAGCTCCCATCCGCCGACTGCCGCCGAAATACGAACGAGCGAAAAAAAGAAATACGAAAAAACATCGAATTGGAACCAAAACCAAGCCAGCCCCAGCCCTCGTGTTAGCCAAGACACGCGCGTGTCTTGTGGAGGGAGCATTCACGCCACCATGCCTTGGCTTGGTAGCTACGATCGCCACCACCTGTCTCTCTACTGCGACGCCGCTATTCACAAAGCGTGGCGAAAGCTCCGTGCCTGTCGGCCACGGCCGAAGCCTCAGTTTCGACGCCCACCGACAGATGTCGGTAGTGGATGCAGCCCGCGTCACCGAGCCACCCCCACCCTCGTTTGGAGTCATGCAGGTCTCCGCAATGCCACCAGAACCAAAGCATCGTCAGAACCACCTCAACAAAGAGAGCGACAGGCAGGAGTCCGAAACAGGAGTCTGGAACAGGAGTCCGGGGAGACACCTGCCGGAGAGTAGCGGAACCGGCGGCTCCGGGGCATTACCTCCGGGTCGTGCTGCTCCAGCGCGTGCACGAACTCGGTGCGCTCCTGCACGGCCAGGCTGGGCTCGCGCACGGCGGCCTTCTTCAGCACCTGCGCGTGCTCGAAGCCCTCCCTGCCGCTAAAGTTGCCATGGATCGAGACGGCCGTCATGGGCGCCTCCTCGGCGGCGCCAAGCGTCATCGCGCGCGCCATCGGTGAGCGGCGCGGCGGCGCCGCCGGCGCGCCGGCCACCGCGATCTGCGACTCCAGGTCCGACAGCTGCTGGTACTCGAAGTTGTTGGAGCGGCCGAAGCGGCCTCGCCGGCCGGCGCTAGCCGGCGCCGCCAGCGCCGGCGCCGCGTCCACGGCAACCAGCTGGGGTACAATCGACCGTCAGGGTGCGCGGCGGAACACGGGCTATCGCGACGCGAACGGGGCCATGTTCGGCCGCCTATCCAGGCATGTAGCGGGAAAAGAACCGTGAGCGTAGGGATACAACTATGAACACCGGAAAATATGGTATGATCCTGCCCATAGCCAAGCCACGAGTGCTGCGTCGAGGTGTGTGGGGCGGCGGAGAGGAAAAGGGTCGATAATGGTCACAGTCGGCCACAGCCACAGTCGGCCCGCCACAGTCAGCCACAGCCGGGCCACAGTCGGCCCGTTACGGGGGTGGGACTCTTGTGGCCACCCGTTACGAACCATGCAGGCTCGGCATCACAACTTAGATGACGCTGAACCGCCGGCCGAAGCGGCCCCACCATCGGCAGCAGCTGTGGCCAGTTCCAGACCCGCCAGACTCGTCCTGATCTGCACTGAGAGCGCCCTCGCCACACTTACCTCGCGGCGGGCCACGATATCTGCACGGGCTCTTTCAAAACGAGACGGAGGAGAGCGGCCGACAAGGATCACAACACTCGACACACTGACCAGTCTGGAGAGACAAGGATCGCAGCAACGAACGATTCCTCCAGTCAGGAAACAGGCTCGCGGCAATGAGCACTCTCCAGCAGGGAGAGTGCAGGCCGGGCGTTACTGGGCAGTTACGGGCAGGAGAAGACGCACAGAAGTGTGACCTGCGGCTTCAGCACGCCGAGCGGCGATCGAAGCCGCCCCGGTGCCGGACGCGCGCTCCAGAACAGTACGAACACTGACGCGACTGTGTGAGAGCGAGCTTCCGCCCAGACCACCTGCATGCCACGCCTACTGTGACGCAGTCTCAACCGGCACATTCAGGTTCATACCTACCCAGTATGCCACGGTACCACGGTCCGTCAGCGGGGCGTTTACAGCAAAACGGCGCACATCTGAGGCGGAGCTCACGCGGGCCAAAAACACAGCGCTGGCTGGCAGCACGCTAGCGACAGCAAGCAGCGAGCACGCAGTGCCAGCGCGCTAGCCTGGGCGGCTGGAGAGTGACCGCACGCACACGCACACACGCGGGTATCACACAAGCACTAACACAGGCGGTGAACAGCAGGCATTTCCCGCCTGCAAACTAACACGGACGGGAGAGAAACAACGGGAAACAGCGGAATTAGTCACAGCAGACGGCGGCGGTTGATTCACCGGGCGTCTTTAGGCCGAGTCGAACGTTGGGAGGCGGGCGTCGGGAGGCGGTCTTTGGGGAGGCGGACGTTGGGAGGCGGTCACCGGAAGGCGGGTCACCGGGAGGCGGACACCGGAAGGCGGTCACCGGGAGGCGGTCTTCGGGAGGCGGTCTTCATGAGGCAGTCACCGGGAGGCGGGCGTTGGGAGGCGGACGTCGGGAGGCGGTCTTCGGGAGGCGGTCTCCATGAGGCGGTCACCGGGAGGCGGGCGTTAGGAGGCGGGCGTTGGGAGGCGGTCGTCAGGCGGGCAGCGGGCCACACATCCTGCACGGACACAGTACCTGCTCGTCGCCGCCGCCGCCGGCCGGGCTGCCCTCCGGGATGGCTGGATCTATGTCGATGACGGTCGACTGCCTCGTCATCGTCGACTGCCGGTGCACGGTCGACTGGCGGGCGGACTGGCTTCGACCTGCGGCCACCGGCGACCAGGTCACATCGGCCGACGGCGACCGGGTCACATCAGCCGACAGCAGCCGGGTCACATCGACCAGGTCACATCGGCTGCAGGCGACCGGGTCACATCGGCCACCGGCGACCGGGTCACATCGGCCGCCGGCGACCGGGTCACACCGACCGCCAGCGACCAGGTCACATCGGCCGCCAGCGACCAGGTCACATCGGACGCGGGCGACCGAGTCACATCGGACGCGGGCGACCGGGTCACATCGACCGGGTCACACCGGCCGCCAGCGACCAGGTCACATCGGCCGCCAGCGACCAGGTCACATCGGACGCGGGCGACCGGGTCACATCGACCGGGTCACATCGGCCGCCGTCGACCGGGTCACATCGACCAGGTTACATCGGCCGCCGGCGACCGGGTCACATCGGCCGCCGGCAACCGGGTCACATCTGCCGCCGGCCGCCACAGCGCTCCTGCCTTTCAAAATACGTCCAGTAGGGTGTGCAGGATGCGAATATACATTAATGCTGCCAGAATCCTGGCTCTCCAGAGGCCTACGGACGCAACTCGCTGCCTGTTGACCCCGAAACCTGACATTTGACCTGCGTCCGTCAAGCCTGAGGCACTTAGATGCTCGGTTGGCCGCCGGCCGGATCGGTGCTGATGGTCGATTGTGAGCCAGGAGCGGGGCGACAGACAGTGAACCCCAAACCGGGGGTAAAATGGCATAAAAATCCGAAATTCCTGCCACCCAAGTGGCCGAACATTGACATACTGCACACCACGTACCGGCGACTGCGGCTAACCCGGCGCTCGCGTCCGGAGCGGCATAACCGACGCACGGAGCCCCCCGGGCGTCCCCGGTACTCATACAGCACATCCGTGGCCATGTCTCACGCTAGGATTCACATTCCAAGTCGATGCCCACGCCCTGCGCCAGTCCTCATGCTCCCCAACAGAGCTCGCCAGTCCGCAAAACAGCTGACAGCTTACGGCATCACTTACGCTGCACACCGGCCTTGGCACTCCGCATCGATACTTACATTTCATACCAGCACCCACACTTGGTAATCGCCACGTTCCATACCAGCACCCACACTTGGTAATCGCCCTCATCCCACACCTCACGCCGCGCGCCAACTCCCATCCCCCACACTCCCCGCCGGCCGCTCGCGGCGTTCCTCGGGGTACGGTGGAGGCGGCGAGCCGGTCCGCTCACTTGACATTCATCAGCGGCTCGCCCGCTCCCACTACCCACACTCCGCGCCGGCCGCCCACGGCATCCACCGCGAGGGGGTGGAGGGAGGAGGCCACTCACTTGACGTTCATCAGCGGCTCGATGCTGTACTCGTGCAGGGAGCGGATCACGTGCGTGCCCACCACGGGCCGCGAGCCGAAGCTGCGGTGGTCCCGCACCTTGATGTTCAGCGGCGGCATGTACAGCGGCTCCTTCGGCAGCATCTACGGCAGCGGCAGCCGCATCAGCGGCACGAGCGGACGACTTAACAGGTTTGAGATGGACCTCGTTCGGTCGGGCGCGCTTTCCGTTATCACAAATCAGAGCATCGCTCAGCGTACCTACCGAAAAAAATACTCGTACAAGCACGACGAAATACCTCGTCATAAATACCTACGCAATAAGCACGTAAGTATTCATAATACCACGTATACAGATACCATGTAAATGCACGTAGGTATAATCATGACATACATTCGGTCCCGGACATCCCGTCACCAGATCAGTTTTCGCGGCCCATCCATCGTCGCACCCGCGAGCCTCCACCACAAGCGCGGCCGACAGACTGCGTGCGAAAATCTGATCTCCCCCCCCCCCCCCTTGGGCGGCAGCCCCCACTCACGATCTCCATGAAGAGGAACGGGTCGGCGAAGTTGGGATGCTGCTTGACGTCGCCCATGACCTCTGACGTCACCACCTTGCCGGCGCACTCGAACTCGATGGCCGGGTTGCGCACGGAGCGCAGCTCGAACGACCTCATGTTGCGCACGCCCCAGCACAGGATCTGCGGGCGGCACAGCGTCGGCTGGTGAGAAGTCCCCGGCGGGTCGGGCAGGGCAGAAGGGTCAGTTTGCCGCGGCGGCACAGGGGCCGATGGACCACCCCGACCGTGTCGCCGGAGGACGCGAATTGTCCTGCGCCGCACATGCCGAAGCAAGGTCTGGTGGCAACAGTCAGGAGCCAGCGCAGTTGGAAAAACATCTTAAAAGCCTGCTGCTATCACCACATGACCTGGAAAACGTGAGAAAGGTACGGGGAAGTGATTACCACCAGGACGTTCTCCACTGGCTGGTGCAGCAGTCGAGAGGCGGGGGGGAGCGCTTGTTACTGTGTTAAGGTGTCCACCAGGGACGCTCTCCACCGGTTACCAGAACGGTAGAATGAGAGGCAGGGGAGGGGCTGTTCATATATGGAATAATTTACACCCCTTGCTTCTCAACGGAAGGTTTCCATGCCGGCGAACGAACGCAACGCTACTATCGCACAAGCTCTGGGTTTCTCACCGTCAGAAAGCGCATCTGAGAACGAGAAATTCACGTGCAATACCCTCTCAGTCTGCATCTCCCAACGAGAAAGGACAGCTGGTGTCGGGCAATCCTAATTCACGCGATCACGCTATATACAGCAGACCACATGACGCATTCGGATGCATTAAAATATAGGGGAGTACATGTCAACAGGCAAAGGGCACAAAACAGATAGAGACATAGAGTAAGACAGAGGCATGAAGAGGCGCAGATGCCAAGAATCATTTACACTGTTTCCCTCGTAACGACGCCACTACAACCGAAAACTCCGCGACCAAAACATCTAGGCCTGCTTTCCCCTCCCCTCCGCCCACAAACCACAAACCACAAACCACAAACCATTAACCCTCCCCTTCCCCGGCACGGCCCTATGTGACTTGGGTCGGGACGGGGCAGAGCGCAAGAAAGCCAGCGAGCGGCGAGCGACCAGGCGGACGGACAGGCGGACAGGCGGACGGGCGCGGCCCTCCTCCCACCTCCACGGCGGTACGCTGCAGCACGGGCCGTATGCCGCTGGGCACGTAGTACAGCGTGCCACCCTTCTTCGTCGGCGGCAGGAACGGCAGCTCCGACACCTTGCAGTAGAGCTCGAACGAGGCCAGCAGCTCACCTGTGGCACCGGCGGCCGGGTCACGCGCGGGTCACCGGGTCACGCGCAGGTCAGGTCGGGTCACGAGGGCGGCTGACGGGAGGACGAGACACACCCGCTGTGGGGCGGGGCTCTTCTGGACCTGGGGCGGCCACAGGGGCACACGGTAGCCTGACACGAGAACAGGAGCATGGGGTGATCTACGTCACAGAGGCGGCCTTACCAGCTCGCCTACAGCAACGATAAGCGACGACATGCATCTGGGTTTGAAATCAATGACATGCGAGGGGGGACTACGTGGCCACCTGGGGCAGGGGCAGCTTTCAACCACCACGCCTGCGTCGCGGATAAGGGCTTAATCGGAACCCTAGGGCACTAGGGCAGCTACATTGTCATACGACCTCAACGGCCCAGGTGCACGTGTGTATATGTATGTGTATATATATACTTATGAATTGCTATAATGATCATTATGTCAATACCAAAATTATGCATTATATTATCTAATATAATCATCACTGTTTGTGTATCTGTACATTATTCATTAAGACCGCCAACTCTCGAGAAAAAAACTGCCGCTTAACATAATAGAGGCACGACACCGTAACCCAGAAAGCAAACACAGACAGTGCGCAGTTGAGAGGCCTGCGGACGGCACGTGACAATAACGAATCAGAGCAAAGCGCTTTCCATCCGCGGGAACCCGCGGACAACTTACTGGACTGAGAGACAGAGAGGACCCACACCGCCGGGGAGATTGCGGCGAAAGGAATGACAATGAACCACCGCCGTGGACGATATCACGGTAGGAAATTATAATTACGTATTAAATTAAATTATAACATGAGATAACTTATACGTATTAAATTAAATATATATATATATATATATATATATATATATATATATATATATATATATATATATATATATATAAATCAATCACGTAGGATATTACGTAAGAAAGCATACCCCATCTTACAGGGGATCAACAGTGATATCACAAGGCGCTCGTGACAAGCTCGTTGGCACAACGATTCACGGGCAGATAGCAGCCAACGATAATTCCGCGTGTTAGGGAATCACAAGACAGATTACGGAGACTCTTTGGCCTACGCAGTCAATTAATGACACACGGCAAGCGCGCGGTTTGGGGTCACACACACTTCGCTGAGCACGAATCTCTACGGTCGTTTATTTCAAACAGTAGGCGTCTTGTTGGAGAATGATTGACAGAGCTGAACTGGAGGCGACGGTTACAAACGTGCTGCACGCCATCGTTTCGCATGTGTCGCCACCAAGACCAGATAACACGTCCTCTTTGAAGCGCATCATTTCGGCGTTACTTTCCACCGAAATTGTGGGCACGGAACGCCCCAAACCGATCCAAGGCACCGACGACTCAAGCCGCAACGATGATAGAAAACAACGAATGCTAGTCGAGGTAAGTTTCACACCAAAACAGGGAAGCAGGTCCGCAGCCGGCCATGCGAAGTTATGAAGAAAACACGCCACATCCACTTATCTCGACGTAACGAAGCCGACAGAACAAAAGCAACGTCAAAACAAAAGCACAAACCAAAACGACGCCAGACGCCACGAACGGCACCAACCAGAAGCTGCCGCGCCGTCCGGCCGGCCTGTCCGTGACGTCAGCCTGACGTCACACTGACCGTGGTAGGGCCTGTCGGAGAGCTCGCCCCGCTCCGAGGGCTTCAGGTACGCCCGCTCTCGTCCCCAGCCAGAGGCTACGCGCACACGACGGCCGGTCACATGCGGGCCGCCCGTCCCCAGCCAGCGCAGCGGCCAGGCGGCCCAGCCAGCGGCGTCGGAGCAGCACCCAGACAACGGAGCTGCTCCAGCTGCTCGCTACGAGCCCGTCCCCCGTGCCGACGGGGCGACACCGGCAGAGCCCGCATCGAGGACGGCTTCTGTTGCGTGCTTCGGAACAGCTCACCAACGCTCCCCACAGATAACTACGCTTGAAATGAGATTATTCTTGAGTTGAAGCGAAGTCAACAGATGAGATTATCTTTATGAGATTCTGGACTTTATTCGTCATCTTGCGATTTCAACCGCTCAGCAGCGTATGCGGCGAGTGGGAGATGAATTTACTTCCTCGGCTTACATTGTGCTAACGTTGGACAGCACGCGGTGGCCCCACCACCCGTGGCAGGACAGGGCGGCCGAACCACCCAAATCTATTTGGTCCGCTTCAGGTGAGAGGTGCCGCTTGAAACATCGTTAAAAAACTAGCTGCGACCAAAAATGAAAGCGTAGATCATAACGACCCTGACATCGACAATAACACAATCAAAAATGTATCCGACACAACACAGCAACTACGTGAAGTTGACAACCGATAATACGCCGGTTAATGCCATGCCTGCTGTCATGATCGTGTACAACACGACAAAATGTACCGCGACATTCTCAAGTTTAGTGCCAACGACATAGAGGCGCAAGTTCCCGTGCCATGCGCGAATACCGCGACAAAATGCAACACGTCATGCAGCTACAAATGCGCATGGGAAGATGGTTCCAGCGTCCTCCATCGTGTTAAGAAGCACCACCCGTGCCTCAAACACCGGACCTGCAGGTGAGATGAGGTCAGGTCAGATCAGGTCAGGTCAGGTCAGGCTCGGCGCGCCGTCGGCCAGTACTGACCTGCGCTGTCGTTGTCGCCCTTGCTGAACTTGAACCCACTGCAGCGGTGGTGGGTGGGCCTTGCTCGGGTCCAGGTGGACGGTGGGCGTGGCTACGGCCCGGCCCAGGAACTCGGGCTCGCCCTGCGCACCCGGTCAGGGGGCGGGGTCAGGTCACGCCAGGCCAAGGGTGGGGTCAGGTCAAGCCGGGTCAGGGGTAGGGTCAGGTCACGCCGGGTCAGGAGCGGGTCAGGTCACGCCAGGTCAGGGGTGGGGTCAGGTCACGCCGGGTCAGGAGCGGGTCAGCTCACGCCGGGTCAGAGGTGGGGTCAGGTCACGCCAGGTCAGGGGGCGGGGGTCAGGTCACGTCCGGTCAGGAGCGGGGTCAGGTCACGCCGGGGTCAGGGGTGGGGTCAGGTCACGCCAGGTCAGGAGCGGGTCAGGTCACGCCAGGTCAGGGGCAGGGTCAGGTCACGCCAGGTCAGGGGCGGATCAGGTCACAAAGGTCGGGGGCGGGGTAGGTCATGTCTGGTCAGGGGCGGGGCCAGGGAGGGGAATACGACCAAAGATTCCCTATGCCACCGCATCAGAGCAGTAGGGACAGACCAGTAGGTCGGCAAGGTCACACTGGTGAGTGGAGGGGTAAGGTCACACGGAGAGGGGCTGGCCCAGATCCACTAAACAGCACCAAAAATTTCAGGGAGACTACGGTGGAGGAAACTGACAGCCAACCACCATCACCTCGTGCAGCGGATATTATATACAGGTTATCGAGTACAAACTAGCCCAAACTACGTCGTGCACGTAATTGGCACACTCGAGAGCGAAGGGAAAATTGAGTCACAATGAGCGGATGATAAACCCTCAAGACAACGTCCCTGAGGACAGTCCCGTAAACGCTCACCAGGATAGGGTTTCAAAGGTAGGCGGCGACAGTGAGCGTCTTCTGCTGGTCACCCACCCACCAACCAATCACAACAACCCCGGGAAGCTGATGATCACGGTAATGGTTCGGACCTATGGGCGGTTGTCTCCTTGGCTGGAAACCACCCAGGCAGAGCTTCTGATTAACGCCAAAACCTGACAACCCCCCCCCCCCCAAAAAAAAGGCATTGTCACAGCCACCTCTTGCTGCTGGCACACTTTCCCTCCTTCCGCCCCACGACAAAGTCTCCGCTCGATAACCCGGCCTAACGACGCGTTCTTGTCTGTTTAAAGAGAACGCGACACGAGACGCGACAAGAAGCAGTCATCACGCCCCTTTCACGGAGCGTCGTGCGCCTGCACCGGCCCTATTATCGCTCCGGGGCGCAGCACCACCGGGACCCGAACTCGGCCTCCCTACGTGCGAGCCCAACACGCTAACCCCTCTGCCGGCTCCTGGCGGCGCGCTCCACTCACGTAGGTGTCGTGGTCGAACACCTCGATGATGACCTGCGGCGGCTGCTCCAGGATGAACATGGGGTCGCCGTGGATGGTGAGGTCGTCGTACAGCAGCGTCTGGTCCCAGGTGGGGCACAGCGTTGCCCGACCCCGCTCCGTCCGCTGCGAGAAGTTCAGGAAGCTGACGCAGGCGTACGGATCTGCGGGCAGAGCGGCGCCACCGTCAGTCAGGTGCTGTGGACCAGGGGCGATGCGTGACAAGGCCAGACCGGCCGACCGAGCGTGCTCCAGTATCGTAAGACCGGGGCTGGTCATGCGTTACGGGCGTTTCGCGCGACTTCGACACTGGCATGTGACGTCATTGGAACATCTGACGCAGACGTGCAGGTGGCGTCAAACTAAATGACGTCACGATCAACGCGCATGGATTATTTTTAACCTTCAGATTTCAGCCACTAACGCATTCCGTGCTGCGTTTCATACACGCATCAGGACGGGCGCACCATTGGGGGCCGGCCGATTCTACCCTCTGGCGCCAATCTACTCATCACATTATGTCCCGCTTCGTGCCCACAACCCCAAATAAACAGCACACAAAACGACACACGCGTCTTGTACGGCCCTGCGTGCAGCCCGTCACCAGCACGCCGCCGGCCACTGAACCCGCCCGAGCGGCGTCCGCGGGCGGCGGCGCTGCGGCCGAGCAGACCGCCACCTACCGGAGAAGCCCGTCTTGTCTCCGGCCAGCAGGTCGCGCGCCTGGTAGATGTAGGCGCGCAGCTGGTACTGCTGCTCCATAGTGTGCACCAGGTACATCTTGGGACAGCTGAGGTGGACAACTGCCAGTCCGCCCGGTCACAGGTCACACAGGGGTCATACAGAGGTCACGCAGGACGACAGCCCCCGAGGAGGGTCGCCGGTGTAATCGGTGTGAGCCGTGGCGCTGGTGGGAATGGCGCATGAACGACGCCCCGTACTTCATTTCGGCAATGTGGCTGACATGGTTGTAGGACATTGCAAACTGGTCGAAAACATTCCCGGCACATTGATTTCAAATAATGCTGAGCATCTGTAACCGTGGTTCTTCCTACAAGTTGTCCAATGATGCACATCTCGTGCAAAGGCACACAACTAAGCTGAACATGCATTGCATTCAGGCTGGGATGTTATCAGCAGCGGTACAAACTCACTCGTTCACAGTGTCGTTAGGTCCACACCCATGCCTTAGTGTTGCAGCAGGAAAAACTGAGCCCACTGCCATGCAAAGTATAGACTGATTAATCGACCACCGCCACCCGTGTTATCCTCACGGCGTGCGTTGGCAGAGTGCTGCAGCGAATCAGTAAACATTCAAGCTATCGGCATAGAGCTGAGTGACTGGGGGCAGTAAGGCATGTATGCTGGTGGCGGTCAGAACGGGCTGGCGTCAGGTCGATGCCCGAGGTCAGGTCGATAGCGACCCGAGATCAGGTCCATACCGACCCGAGGTCGGGCCGATACTGACCCGAGGTCAGGTCAATACCGACCCGAGGTCAGGTCAATACCGACCCGAGGTCAGGTCCATACCGACCCGAGGTCAGGCAGACACTGACCCGAGGTCAGACCGATACTGACCCCAGGGTCAGACCGATACTGACTCAAGGCCAAGTCCATACCGACCCGAGGGTCATGCCGATAATGACCCGAGGTCAGGTCCATACCGACCCGGCCAGGCCGGTACCGACCCGAGGTCAGGCCGATACCGACCAGAGGTCAGGCCGATACCGACCCGAGGTCAAGTCGATACCAACCCGAAGTCAAGCCGATACCGACCCGAGGTCAGGCCGATACCGACCAGAGGTCAGGCCGATACCGACCCGAGATCAGGCCGAAACCGACCCGAGGTCAGGTCGATACCGACCCGACGTCAGGCCGGTACCGACCCGAGGTCAGGCCGATACCGACCCGAGGTCAGATCGATACCGACCCGAGGTCAGGCCAATGTCGAGGTCAGGCCGATACCAACCCGAAGTCAAGCCGGTACCAACCGGAGGCCAGGCTGATACCGACCCGAAGTCAGGTCGATGCCCGAGGCAGGTTTTAAAATGACCGGAAACCGGGTTCATACGACCCGAGGACTCGAGCTCACACGAGGCCAGGTCCTTACCAAACCCAGGTCGAGCTCATGACGGCTCAGCACCAGAACCATGTCCAACCAAGGTCCGGACAATAATGATAATAAATGAAAAAGTAGGGTTGAACAATGAACCAAACTAAACGAAATAATAAGTGAATAGCCTCAAAATTAACCAGCCCCTGAGCCCAGCGACCATTACCACGTAATGACGTTAAACGTCAGCCACCGACAGCGGGTCCAGAGGCTCTCCTCTCACGTCTCCATGCCGTCACTGCCAGCCTCACGCCGGCCAGATCACCAGATCATGCTGCCGTGCTGGCCGCTTCATGCCGTCCACGCAGGTCAGGTCAGGCCAGGCTAGGCCAGGTCAGGCCAGGGCCAGGTGAGGTGAGGTGAGATGAGGTGGGGTGAGCAGCAGCGGTGAGTGTGCAGAGCCGTTCCGTCCCAAAGCCGGCTTCAGGCGCGAAGCGCTACGATACGTCACTTTTGCTACCTTCCGAGTCGGGATCTTTCAGCCTGAAGATGGGCAGCTGGGGCACACTGTGGGTCGACATCACCAGCTTGCGGTGCCAGCGGCGGCGGCGCACCATGTCCATCTGGGGACGGCCGGGTCACGGGGTCATCCAGAGGTCGCCACCGCTGAAGGGACAGGTCACAATGTGACACGACCGCGTGCCGCACAATGCGATGGGATCTTGTGCGACAGATTGGTTGCGGACTACCTTATGTTTGTGACGTACCTAGCGCATCATCAGAACACTTCCGGCTAATAAATGACAACAATATTTGGATCTAACACATTCGTCTCTACGGTCAGCTAGCTTCGCAGTCTCCTAAGCCATTTCTTGCGGGGACGACGAAATAATTACGATGAACGCCAGACTCGAACCCACACCTATGTATACACGGTCGTGAAGGAGACACCTTCCTTGGGCCTCCTCCCCTCCTACCTCCCCTCGGGCCTCCTGCATCCCTTGGACCCCACCACGCATGCTATTACGCAGAGGTACTTACCACCGTCGAATCTTCTTCACCTCTGTAGCACTCCAGCTTCCCACGCGTAACCTTTTCCGCTTAAAACGCACGTGGTCTGCGTCACGCAGCTTGAAACATAGTCAGCGGAGCTCACCTTTCGCTCGCGGGCGTGGAACTTCAGACCGAAGAGCGGCGCGTACTCCCAGCCCTCCTTGTCAGCCTCCGTCTGCTGCAGAGCGGCGGCACCGGCGACGGTCAGGTGGTGCCGGGCAGATGAACACGAGGACAGGAGGAGCACGAGGACAGGAGGAGCGCGGGGACAGAAGCGCGAGGGCAGGAGCTCGCGGACAGGAGAGACGCGAGGACAGGAGGAGCGTAAGGACAGGAGGAGCGCGAGAAGAGAAGCCCGAGGACGGGAGAAGCGCGGGGACAGAAGCTCGCGGATAGGAGACACTCAAGGACAGAACGAGCGCAAGGACAGGAGGAGCGGTGCCGGGGCGTGGGGATGACGCCAGCCGGGCACATGCCTTCAGTCACCGTGATCCACACGGAAAGGCTGGGACATTCGCGCGTTTCCCGCGGAGAGGATGTGCTTGGAGATCCCATCAGATGATGGAAGTGAGGACAGAGGCATCCTGCGCCTCATCCACAATAACCAGGGAGGCCAACAACACAGTTGACCAGAAACGAACAACAAACAAATGAGGACTAGATGGGAGACGTACAGATTCTACCCACCTTTAGGTACATTCCTCCATCCAGTGTCAGTTCAACACAGATTCAAGAGCCCACAACTAAGGCAATAATAATCGCGTTCGATAGGTTCGGATGAAATCAATACCTAACGCCGGCATATAGGCACACCTTATAGCTTGACATACAAAACTTCACATGACGTTAACACTTACCTGTAAACAGTGCACGCCATGCGGTTAATGGCAATGATGATTTGGGCTTTGGGGCGCGACGAGTGCGCTAGTCACATGGCGTCCATCGCAATGCGATTACTAAAGGTCCATTCGACCAGCTCCATTTCAATACAGGTCGGGAAACACCTCAAGACGCTATGCCTTTCTTGTGGCGTATCTTCGCGTTATGCTTATCATAATCATACATGTAGTAGCTGACCTAGCAGGCTGTTGGGTCAATCTGCTGGGTCTGTTGAGGCCAAAACCAGCAGACGTTCATCAGTACAGCCGCCTCACCTGAGCCTTGACCTTCTCCACCATGGTACGCGGCCGGACCCAGCGGCGGCGGCGGCACAGGTGGTACAGCTTGTCCACGGGCCCGTACCCTCCCAGCGTGGACTCGACGCAGTACTCCCAGCCCTCCTCGTCCACCGCGCGGTTCAGGTCCACCTGCCGATGGACACCCAGGTGGATGTCAGTCGTGGTGAAATGACGAGCCGAAATGCGGGGTTTGTCTTCGTTTTTTTATATTTTACTCAGATCGCGCTGAAACGACCGTTCATAAAAAAAATGGGTGCCGTCACTTTTCTAACATTGTCGTGTGGCGTCAAAACCAAGACGATCAGAAAACGTAACGACGTAACTTCTTTTAATTTGCAGGCCTCTGTGTGCTTTACAGAAGCGGCATACTTGTCCATTGTGACAAGGTGCGGCATGACAAGGACAACAAGGACAAGGATATCTGTTTGCCGGTAACGTACGCTCCCCGTCGGACTGCTGAGACAATACACCCATCATCGCGAGACAAATCAATATCTGACCGTCCACGCGTCGTTTCCACTCCCAGCCGGGCGGCGTCACGATCTGGTTCCCGCTGCTGAGACGGGTCTCCGCGCACGTCCGTCCACTGCGTGAGCGCCGGCATCCAGCTGCCAGCTGGCAGCGGTTCTCGTTCTCGAACACGTCCTCCAGGTACGTGGAGTGGCCGGCGTCGGCCTCGTAGAACAGGCTGCGCAGTAGACGACCATAACATGGCGTAAGAGCGGCTGCCGGTTGGCCGCCCAGCGCCGTCGGGTGTGTTATGTGCGGCTAGTGGCGGGCGGACCGTTGACAGCGTGTGCAGCATCAATCAACAGAGCCAGGAGCGGCCATGACGGCGGCGCACGGCGGCAGCCATTCCCGGTATGACGTAATCAATCATCAGACAGCACGCGCGTGATGACGACAAAAACATACAAAGGATACGGAGAGGCAAACACTTGAGATAATAATGTCCAACACACGCGTCTTTTTATTTCTTTTTTGCCACAACCGCAGGCCGTGTGTGGTGGTCACAAAAAGGTACGGCTGATACCTGAGGCTAATTAATATACCTAAATGTTTCTTATTATGCTTCTTATTATGATAGCGATGTTAAACAGGCTGGCCCAACGGGTGAAAGGGACATGCATTCTTCCCTACACCACCATTCCACAACTGACACGCCGTTTGTCTTGGGACAACCGTCCCACTCTCATTGCGCGATCTTCTGAAACATTCGTCATTCTCTGAATTGTTGATGGGACTTCAGGAGCACACTCACAAGCAATTAATTTCAAGGAGCATATTCTGTTTCCGTCGCAATGTCCACCAGAGAAAATGAAAAAAAGAAAACGCGTCTGACCTGCACAATTTTGTTGACCGGCAACCGATCACGCGCAAAAACAACCATCCATCCAACAATCCTGATGGACTTCATGTCATGACAATATCTATAACGTACCTCTTAAACTGTTATAAATTATTGTTTATGTTGTGCAATATCTATGAATTGCGTGGGCCAGGGACGGCCTGGCAGCCACCACCATCAGGGCCGCGGTCCCCATTACCAACAGCTGTCCATAAGTTGCAACATATGACGTCAGAGGCAGGTGCGTCACAACATTTTCCCCAGCTTGGAGGATGGCCGCTTGTGTATGACGTAAGAACTTGCGACGCCACAGGTAGCAACTCAAGACGGCACTCTTGCCAATTCAGAACGCGGCCCTGAAGTCGCAGCCCTTGAAGTTGCCGCTATAGAAGGCGGCGCTCGATAATAGTCCTGACCATGCGCCAGAGACCACTTCAATGTCACAAGTCCCGTGCATTAATTGCCACATAACTGTTTGAATAGCCCACCAGCTACTAAAGAGCAGACTCGTGCTCAGCTTTTGATGATGGGGTCGGGGGTCGACTCCACAGTCCGCCGAAATCGGGCCGAGGTCAAAGTGGAGTTGACTCAACGAAGACTGCGGAATCGGAGTCAGAGGTGACCCTACAACCGCACCTAGTGTCAGCGTGGAGTCGACCCCAATTACGACGTTCATTTTTGGCCAATCGGAGTCCGGACGCGCGGACCTAACACCAACTGCCGGAGGGCCGACCGGTCACTGACCTGGGCTCGGGTCGACGAACCAGTTTCCGTCGAAACCGCCAGCCGTCGGGCGGCATGAAGCCGTCACGCGGCAGCAGCATGTCGCCGCCGGCGTCGGACCACTTGGGCCCGCGTCATCGTCGGGCCCTTGGTCACCCAGTGGCCGGCGATGCTCGACTGCCGACACCCGGCCGGCGACGTCATCATGACGTCACATCACGCACGTGACTTGTGATGCTACACGGTGCGTGACCCAAGAGGCAGCACGAAACGAAAAAGCGGGGACGGGGACGGGGACGAAACGCAGGCGGTGCTCACGGTTGAAACATCATGTGACGTCATCACAATAATGGCATCACGTAGCGGATAACCTGAGCGTGATGTACCGTCACGATCGACCAACATATCGTGAGACGCGACCACTACGTCAACCGAAACCACACGCCTCTGGTTCGGCAAAGCCGCCGGAACTTCCATTTGACGTAAGAGCTAACAGCCCAGCACATAATGGAAGGGGCTCACGACCTCTCTCCGATTTTTGCGGCGCATTGCTTAAGTTCGTCCACAGGTATTGCTTCGCTGTCAGTGACGGCCGGAATGTGAGGCGATAATAACGGTCATCTCGCGGCCCAACCATATATCTTTAGTCCGGCGAATGCGGAAAGTGGCGACCGGACTGCAGTTTTAAAGGTCACGCCAGTTGAAATGCGCCAAGTTCAATTTCTGTCTGAACGGGCAAGCAACGAAATTAAAAAATGCAACTGAATTCCCGCAAACGCCGAAAACGGACATATTGCACATTTTGGCTTCCCTAACAACGGGGTACGGCTATGCCCTACGCACTGTAATCAATGAGAGCAGCAGTAGGCTTGCCACATCTTACCAGACCCATGGCAAGGTAAAAACCTTTCAGAGCTATTACAGCGGGACGCCTTGCAAAAGGAGCGGTGTGAGGGACGCTGCAGCCATCAAAGTATTCAACTGAACTGAGCACATACCTCGACGGTCCCAAATCTTCCAAATAGCAATTTCAATGCATGCGGTTTCGCCGGTATTTCTGCGATGACTGTATGGTATGACTGGATGACAAGGTATCCAGCGCGATTGCAATTTATTATTGTTCGGTCATATGAACCTGGACGATGAGATGCTGAGGATGGTGATGACGATTTGGACCTCAGGGCGCGCCGTTACCTGGTCACACGGTGCCGCGCCCATTTTAACCTGGACATTAAGCTCCGCGGTCCTCATAACCGGGACGTAGCACCGCACACGTTGTCGTACGTCCTTTGTGAACACCTCCGCGCCTTCCCGTCCCCGCACCAGGTCCTCGGTGTTCTGTGTGCGCCACTGTACCTTCTGTCTCCGCACTGGCCCTCATGCGTTCTTTGTAAACTAGTGTTTCTCCCTGTCCCCGTACGGGATCCTCTGTACACTACAGTACGTACACTCTGTGTACACCAATGCATCTCTCCGATCTTCATTCCTAGTCCTGATACGCCTATGTGCACCGCCGTCCTTCCCCGTCCCCGCACGTGATCCTCAACCGTCTGTGTCCATCGCCGTCCCCCGCCTGCCCCGTACCTGGTTCTCTCGCGCCCGTGTCCATCGCCGTACTCCGCCTGCCCCGTACCTGATCCTTCGTACCCCTGCGTCCCCCGCCGTCCCCCGCCTGCCCCGTACCTGGTTCTCGCGCCCGCTCCATCGCCGTACTCCGCCTGCCCCGTACCTGATCCTTCGTACCCCTGCGTCCCCCGCCGTACCCCGCCTGCCCCGTACCTGGTTCTCGTACGTCTCGGCGTACACCACCGTCTCGGCGTCACGGTGCCCGGCGATCCAGGCCTTCGACTCCTGCTCCTTGCCCAGCCATAGGCGGACACGCAGCAGCGCCGGGATCTTCTGCTTGTTAGGCCGCGCTCCTGTCGGGCAGGGACGGGATGGAGGCCGGGTCTATAAGGTCACACTGCGCCATGCCGCGCCATACCGCATCCTATTGTGCCATACCGCGCCATACCGTGTCATACTCCGCATACCGCGTCACGACGCGCCATACCACGTCACATTCCGTCATTCCTCGTCATACCGCGCCACATCGTGTCATTCCGCGCCATACCGCGTCATAATGCGTCATACCGCGTCATACCGTGTCATACTACGCCATACCGCGTCATAATGCGTCACACCGCGTCATACCACGCCGTCCGCAGCACCGGGGCAGTGACCTGGCGCCTGAGTGACTCTCGTGCCCTCCAATCTGAGTGGTGCCTGAACGACGGCCCCGCCGCCCTGTCATGACTTCTCTCCATAAAGAGGGCATGCACACACGCAGCTGTACAATATGTGTGATAGTACGTTATGTACACAGACAGCGGGAGGTACGAGCAGTGTACCATTAAATCTTCCATCCTCCCGGTAGATCAGGCACTAAAGCACATTAAAGCACAAACACAATCACACTTACAACTCCGCTCTACTCCCACTCCTTCTGCTCATCCACTTCACTCCCCTCCCACTTCACCAACCCTCCCCGCTCCAACCCCTCCACTCTACATCCCCTCCCACTTCACACCACTCCGTTCCAACCCCTCCCTCCACCCCACCCCACTCCACTCCCATCCCAACTCCCACTCCCACTCCCACTCCACTCCACTGCCCTGCCTCACCTGGGAACTTGAGCTGCACAGTTGCTGCAAGCGGCCGCAGTCGGCGCCGCTCTGGCGCTCATCGCCGGCGTACAGGATGGTGTGCGCTGGGATGCGGCAGTATGCCAGACGCTTCTTCCCGCTCAGCATCCAGTTATGATGTCCGGCATCGAGTTCTGCGGTGCGGAGGGAAGAGAGTGGCGTGAGCAGCGGGAGACAAGACAGAGACAGAGAGAGACAGAGACAGAGACAGAGACAGAGACAGGACAGAGACAGAGAGACAGAGAGACGAGAGACAGAGAG